TAGTTAACAAAAAACTGTGTGTGGGGTTACACATAATGATTATAAGCAGCAACTTTTAGATCTGATTTGTCAATGTAAGAAGGTATCTGAGTATAATAAAGTAATAAAATGCCATAATAATAATTTCTGGATTACCAAGGAATCAATGAAAATTATAGCATTAAGAGACAAACTATACGAGGGATGTCTTTTAACTTTTGCATATAGAAACATAGTAGACCGCGCGGATCGAACGTCAGTACTGAATCTTAACGTCACTCTTTAGTAAACTTAAATTCAAAGTTTCACAACAATGTGTGTGTTCTCACTACAGTGAATTTTTAATGCCACCAAGTCATTAGAAAAATGGAACTCAACCGAGAACATTTTCGCACCATAATTTATTCCAACTTTCAGACACAATTATCGCAACAAGATTGCCTTGCTGAGTTACTGTCTGTTTTCGGCAACGAAGCGCCACATTAGTCGACAATTTTCCGTTGGTATGGAGATTTCAAACGTGGACGGGTGAGTCTTAGCGACGATCCCAGGGTGGGTGCACCAAAAACCGCAGTCACCCAGGAAAACGTCGATGCTGTGCGCAAACTCATCATTGAAGATAGACATGTGACATATCGCGAGATTGAGACGTCCTTGAAGATCCCAACGACCTCTATTCAAAAAATGTTACATGAAGAATTAGGAGTAAGAAAATTAGTTTCTCGTTGGATACCCCACCTGTTGACTGAAGAGCAGAAAGCAGCCAGTGTTAATTGGTGTCAAAAAACGCTTGACCATTTCAATTCCGGAAACTCAAAAAATGTCTACAGCATTGTTAGTGGTGATGAATCGTGGATTTACTGTTATGAACCAGAAAATAAACGACAGTCGGCTGTTTGGGTGTTCCATGGTGAAGAAAAGGCAACAAAAGTCATCCGTTCTCGAAGTGTTTCGAAAAATATTGTTGCGACATTTGTGTCAAAAGCGGGTCATATTGCGACAATTCCTCTTAATGAGCAAAGAACTGTTACTGCGGATTAGTATACCACCATTTGTTTGTCAAAAGTCATCGCCGAGCTTCGAAAAATCAACCCCGAAAGAAGAATTATCCTCCACCAAGACAATGCAAGCTCGCACACAGCCCAAAAAACAAGGCATGCAGATGTGTATTAATCTTCGTGGAGAACACTTCGAAAAACAATAAAGTCATTTAAAACTACCTACCGTGTTGTTTTATTATCATATGCAAAACTTTAAAGACATCCCTCGTACAATGATGAAGATGCTATGTCTAAATTCAAAAATATAGAAAATAAAATTAACAACAAGGTAAATACCCTCAAAAATGAACATTTTAAGAAGAAGTGGAATGAAACTGGTAGTAATGTGACATTTCCGACGCCAATTGATTTGTAATCAAATATTTTGTGTATACAAAGAAAACCAAATTTGTCTGACGGCTTGAGTTCAATGTATACGAGGGAGAAGCGCGAGAAGTGTGTATCAACACATGTTGGAAAGAGAATCCGGTTGAAGAACGGTCATCAGCACATTGCCTAGCAACGATGACGCAGAAGCTCGTGCATGCTTCCGCGTTGCCAAAATGTTACAATGTGCAATGCAGCGCCATTAGGGCCGATCCGGAATCGATCCTAAACAGATTCGACACAATTCACAATTAAAAAATGTGTACGCTCAAAATAAAACCATTATTTGGGCGTAGAGAGTAAACTAACGCTACCTTTTAACTAGTTCAGACTAGTTAAATCCCGGTCCGAAGCAGTTTAGACTAGGACAAATCAGTTGTTCCTAATCATAATTAATTTATATCAGGATAAACTAGTTCATCCTATCGCTCATAGGATAAACTGATCTGGCCTAGCAAAAACTAGTTTATCCTAAAATCGGGTTTGTCCGGTAACATACCTATATCTGTTATACTCATTTTTGTGATATTATGGCTTCGCTCCAACAAAGCGGTGTACCGTACAGTGAATCATAATGAACGTGCGCAGTACGTTTTTAGTGTCGCATGACGGTTCACTGTACGGTACACGGGTTTGTTGGAACGAAGCCATTGTTTTTAAATCAGATATTTATTTAATCCCTACCACTAAAGGTAAGCGTCCACGGGTCTCTTCGCAATGTGCTTAGTATACACTAAATGGATTTTAGAATTCGTTTCTTAAAATATAATACACGTGTACACACGGCCGACACGCCCGACACGCCCAGATTTCTGTGTTCTGTGACAGTCATTGAATCTTCCTTCAGATCCTTGGATCACCTCAGAGTCTTTGGATTTCCTCGGATCACTGCGCAGAGTGAAATACTGCCCGTAGTAAGTATGAATCATTAGGGTGTGAGTTACATCGAAATAAGATAGAGCGAAACATCTACTACTAGAATCGACCACTACATTGTATGTTTATTATTTTGTTCAATGGAAAGTAGACCGCGACTACTGCACAGCTAGAATGGTCGCCATATACCTGGGCCTCTATTCGCGCATTCGCGGACTAATATCTATACAAGTTGTCTGCGAAAGGAAGGGAAATCTCGAAACTGGAGATACTACAGACCAAAATATGTCAATTGACCTAAACATACATGAGTCCAAAAGCTTATAGTTTGCGAGATACTGGGTGTCAAAGATACAATTTTATATTCTATTTTTCCTTATTGCTTGAGAAGTATTTCAGATTTTGGCATAAAACTCGGTACAGAGAGGTTTTCTACTATGAGAAACAAGAATTTGTTATTTTATATAGCCAAACTTCTAGAGGGCACCACTTACAGCACTATTTCGGTAAATAACTTATCATAACTTTTTTGTGCTACCCTGTATGCAACAACTGACCGAAAAATCTTATTATCTCGTGTTTCCACAACAAAAAGGTTTACTTGCTATAAGTGTCTAAAGCTAACAGTTTTCGAGATATTTGTTTTTGAAGGTTCCAATGTATTATTTGTACCATAATGATAAAACATTTTTATAACATACGAGCCCCTTCCCACTTCTGTTAGCCCACTTCAAGATTTGTACCAAAATATGCCTTTATAAACTAAACATGACGAAACTATTTACTTCCAAAACAATTTATTTTCTCAAAAACATTTTAGATACACTCTAGTCGTAAAAAATACATATTTGAAATCACTTAGACCTATAACTAATATAACATCTGAACAAATAAACAATGTGCGTATAAACGCGCGAAGTTAACAAAGCAAGCAAAGATTACCATTGGGTAACATGACCTTTATTTTTTATTACGGCTGAAATTCTTTGGGGCATAGTGTTAACCAAGTTTTGGCAAAAACTTGGTGTAAAACAATCCCATATTTCTTGAAGCTTTTGTCTCAGTTCGGTGATTGTACGAGCAGGATGTTGTCGTAGAACCTTTTTCATCTCGGGCCACAAAGTTTCAATAGGTGACAGATCAAGACTGCTAGAAACCCATTTCAAAAGTGGTACATTATTTTCTTCCATCCATTTTATAGCCTTTTTTGAGGTACGGCACGCTGCACCATCTTGCTGAAACACAAAATCTTGGCCAGATGTCAAACATTCTTCCATCAGTGGTAAAAGCGATTCTTCTAAAATTGCCAAATATTTGTTTGTATCCACATTTCCATCAATAAAATGAAGTTTTCCTACTCCTTTTGATGACATACTGCCCCAGACCATAATGGATGCTGGAAATTTCACTTTTCTCTTCAGACAGTCAACATGGAATGCTTCATTTTTTTTGCGGATAACTCTACTGCGACTGTTACCTAAACAAACTTCGAATCGGGCCTCCTCATCACTCCATTGTATTGCACACCATTGTTGAGGTGTCCATTGTCTATGTTCTTTAGCCCATCTAAGCCGATTTTTATTTTTACAGTGGAGTTAATAGTCGGGTTTTTACTTCACTTTTCTTTATAAGAAAACTTACCTTGCAAGTGCTAAATCCCAGTTTGTGGGCCTCTCTATGAGTTGTGGACCTCGAACAGCGTCACTCCACAGAGCACTTAATTGTAAATAATTGGCACGCTTGTTTTTCACGATTATTCTTCTTAATGCTCTTCGATCGGTATTTGTGGTACTACTTTTTTTCACATATCGTGGCTTAATATTAACTGAACCAGTTACGTTATATCTTCTAACAATATTTCTCACCCTGTACCGCGATAAGTCTAACAAAGTTCCAATTTCTGAGTTTGATTTCCCAGAATTAAAAAATTTAATTATCAGTAACCGAATTTTCTCACTAATAACCTTTCCTCTACCCATTTTGAAAACCTTAACTACCCAAAACTATTTTAAACGTATTCTGACAGTGATTGATAAAAACAATTGTCATGGCTTTTATTTTTCACAGCCACCTATGCGTTATAGACTTATTTTGCATTGAAATGAAAATAGGTTGATATGCTGTAATTATTGTGTGTTATTTTTATGTTGCAAATTTGATTAGGGAGTGATAAAGTTGGTGTTTTCTACTATATATTATCAAAATATTAATTGTTAATATTTTAAATCTATATCACCCTGCTACATTTTTATTATTTGTGTTTGATAAGAAAAAAACTAAGATTTCAATTATTGGGCCAACTGAAGTGCGAAGGGGCTCGTATAATCAAGTTGCTCTGGATTATATCTGAATAGCGTTGCTATGGTTTCTAATGTTTGTCATATTACTTTAAATTTCATGAATAATTTTAAGTTGACAATAAGTTGTTAAACATCATGGAGTATACGTTTGATAAATATTCTGATATGCATTTAATGTACGGATTGACAATATGTAATGCTTTAAAAGCACGAAGATTGTACGCTGAAAGATTCCCTAATAGACACCTGTCTAATTCAAAGACTTTCCAACGAATCGATCAGCGGTTACGGGAAACTGGTAAGAAATGATTATAGACTTATTTTGAGTAGTAAAAACCATTTCGATTTTAGGTAGTTTTGCTCAAAATATGGGCTCACATAGTGGAGCTCCCAGAACTGTACGTACAGCTGAAGTTGAAGAAAATGTTTTAGATGCTGCCTTTGAGAATCCTACAGCTGGGGTTAGGAATGTAGCTCGAGAATTTTAATTTTACAAATGTACAGTAAATACCATTTTTCAAGAGCAACTGCTCCATCCTGCAAAAAGTACATGGTTTAAGCGCGGATGATGTACCCGCAAGGCTAGAATCTTGTACATGGCTCTTAAGGACGTTTAACGACGACAATGGTTTTACTTCGACAATATTATTTTCTGACGAAGCAGGATTGGAAGGATGGGCCCATTAACTCGTATAATCTTCACATTTATGAAAATCCTCATGCAATAATATAAACCCGCCGCCAAGTACAATTTTAAATTAATTTATGGGCAAGAATAATTGGACAATATTTAATAGGACCCGTTGAGTTACCACCTAGACTAAATGGCCAAGAAGTTTGGCGATACAAAAATAACGGATTCTTGTTTCTCATACTAAAAAACCTCCCTATACCGAGTTTTATGCCAAAATCTGAAATACTTCTCAAGCAATAAGGAAAAATAGAAAATAAAATTGTATCTTTGTCACCCTGTATCTCGCAAACTATCAACATTTGGACTAAGGTGTGTTTAAGTCAATTCACATATTTTGGTCTGTAGTAACTCCAGTTTCGAGATTTCGCAACCTTTCGTATAATATGTAGTCGCAGCCGATATGCTGTGTTTCACTGTTTCGCAGTGGTCGATTCAAGTGGTAGATCGCGCCTCGCGCTATTTTATTTCGATAGATCACACACTTTTTATAGTGCATAGTTGCTATGCTTTTGTTCGTTATCCGAGAGAATCAGGCCTGCGCCATTCTGGCTGTATTTGGTCGGATGAACGAAAGCAGAGCATGTTTATAATTTTGTTCAATGACAAGTAGACCATATCTAGAAATTTAGATGTGTGAACAAAATCGATAGGAAAATGATAAAGGTTTATTTTTCTATTGCACGTGTACCCACAACACGCGAAAACAGGTTTTCCTTAAACATATAATAACTAATGGAAATGTTACGATCAATACTCGAATTCGGACATTACCCAAAAAAATGTACAAAATTAGTTGTGAGCAACAATTTTTCCCAAACCCGAAATCTTACTGTTATTTGACTATTGAGTGTTACAAGATAAGCAGAACTAATTTTGCTCATTTTAGAGTATGCAAAACTAATGTTGTGCTTTTATGTATTACCAGCACTAGTTCTCGTTAATAAGTCTTCAGAACCAGCTTTGTGCCTTTTTTTAATCGCTTAAGACTAGCTCTGTGAAATATGTAATAAGTATTCTTCTAACCACTTTAAATATTATATAACACAAAGCTAAATATATTTTTTAAAACATTTTATTTAAATTCTGATACAGATATAATAAAAAATAAAACTTCATTCTAGACATATTTATCAATAGTGATAATATTAATCAATAATTATTTATTTGAGCAAGAACATGAATGATGACGTGAGGTTTTGATTTGGTTTTTACAAATTTGCCTCCTTAATTTCAGTTAATGTGGCGCAGTAATGATCTATTGACAAGGTTATGTTTTTGGGTTCCTGAAGCATCCAGTAACTGAATTACTTGAGAGTCAAATTCACTTTGCAAACTTATGTAACTATTTAGCAACAATAGTAATTAAAACATCCACAACTCACAAACACCAACAAATGATTTTCAAAACATGAAGAAGAACATAACAATGCTTTTTATTCGAGTTGCAGCTTCATTGAATAAAACAATCAAAACTAGTTCTAGTTTAGAAATGAGCAAGACTCGTATTATACAATTCGCAATGCACAGAACCAGTTCTGCTTAATTTAGAACGTTCAATAGCCGCATAAAAGTAATATTTCGGGTTTGGGGCATTGTTGCTCACAACTAGTTTTGTTCATTTTTTTTTTGTAATGTCCGAATTCGAGTATTGATCGTAACAGAAACAATGACATTTTCTTATTGCGTACAGACCAGGTATACAGAATTTCTATAAGTATAAAATACCTAGTGAAATTAGATTTCTTAAAAAAACAATTTTCTATATTTTTACAAAAATAAAATATAACCACCATACAGCATCAGCTATCATACAGGCACAACTTAAAAAATTATTTATAAGAGTTGTGGTTCAAAATCAGGTCAGCTCCTTCCTTTTTAAATGTACCTCCAGGATAAAATCGATAAAAAAAACTATACTCAGATACCAAAACAGAAGAGATAGGCATAACATAATTATGGTTATGCTACTGCAGTAACACCGTTTCTGAACAAAAAATTAACTTGAAACATATTTTAAATTCCAAAAATTGTAAGTGGATTAAAGCTAAAAAGGAGTTTACATAAAGAATCGAGTTGACTGGATTTGGCACCAAACTTCTATTGAAATAACAAACCATTCCACTCGTCTTTGAGATCATATCAATGTTGTTTGAAAATACTAGAAATTATTCCGCCATTAATATTGAAATTGTAATAATTTCCTTCGTTTATGACTTCGTGAACTTGAAACTTCCATCACCAGACGTTTTAATTTAATGTTTGCTTCAAAACAGACCGACAGACGAGCTTTGGTTTCCCTGTTGCTGATCCGGACAATGCCGTAATGATGATTCGATGAAAAGTACATGGAATTCATTTTGTCAATTTAATTTTTGGTGTCGGAACTTTTTTCGGTAAAAAATCTGGAAAGGTCTGTAATATCTTACGACTTACATAATGACGTTTTCGGTATTCCGGTAAATATGGTCTCATTTCGGCAAAAATACCGAAAATCGGTAGGTTCGGTAATACTGTACTTCGCTAGAATCGTCGCCATCCAGCGGTCACGTGGTGACTGTGTCTCCATTCGCGGACCGAAATCTATACAGTCCCAACCGGTTCGCAGTGATCGATTCTAGTGGTATATATAATAGTGCTATGCTTTTGTTCGTTAGCGGAAAGGCCCAAGCCTGGACCATGGTGAGGAGTAGTCAAAAAGCATGAAACAGCTGTCCATGATTGGCTGTCAAGGTCAGACGACAAAATGTGAATCAACCTGGATTTCCTGCAATAACTCCAAAACTATAAGCGCCAGAGTAACTACACTTCGGACAGGAAATAATCTCTCTAACTATAGACCAAAACGTTTAGACGTTGGATACTAACTTCTTTTTTCTTTTTCAGGCAAGACCCGCACCAAAGACAAGTACCGCGTGGTATACACTGATCACCAACGCATCGAACTGGAGAAAGAGTTCACCTTTAACAACAAATACATCACGATTCGTCGCAAGTCGGAGCTGGCGACTAACCTAGGACTCTCCGAACGCCAAATCAAAATTTGGTTCCAAAATCGGAGGGCCAAGGAACGGAAGCAGAACAAGAAGAGAGCTGAAGAAAAGAACCAAATCGATATTGTCAGCAGTGGTACCAACGGGGTCATGAACGGGGTGAACGGGTACCATCATCAGATGGAGCACCAGGTGCGTATTAAAGAACATTATGAGTGATTCAATCTTTTCTGGAAAAAAATGTGGCATAGTAAAGCTCAAAGAGTTCAAGTAAGTCATACTTTAGAATTTAAATATGTATCCATATTGAGATTTTGGAAGGTTTGGATAATTTACACAAAAGCAAAATGTTATATCCAGGGTGTTTCAAAATCGACTCTCACCGTTGGGATCTCGGAAACGGGAAGAGATAGAGTATTTTTGGAGATAAACGACGACTTATATATATATATATATATCTGCTGTTGGCTTCATCAGGCCCGAATGATCGATTGGTAGATCCGGGAGCCGACGTGTTGTGTCCAGAGGTTCAAGCATGAGTTTTTTTCTTCCGGGTTCACGATTTCACCAAGGGGGTAGCCGGGCGAGATGCAACGAAATCATAGCACCAGAATGTCTGTCTGCACATGCGCACACGCTGGCGTCACTTTGTATTGAGTGTACAGGGTGGTGTGAATGTTCATGTACAGGGTGATATCGGCTGATTGTACCGGGATGTACAACATATCGGCGGCCTTGAAGCTACGGCGAACGGGAGGAGACAACTTCTGATATATATATCTGCTGGTTGGCTTCATCAGGCCCGAAATGAATGCACATATGAAACTACAAAAGTAGATACACATGCCCACACATCCGGATACGGGTGTAACCTGAGGAAACGAAGTTGGAAGGGAAAAAAAACGACACACGAAGTCCACAACAAGAGCCAACCTACACATTGTAGTATAAAATGGCTATACGACTTCGAATTTTCAAGGAGACGTCTAACCACCACCACGCGGCCGGTTATAGCAACTTGCTGTGGTACTTCAAGCCCAAAGGATCTACAAAGAGAATATGATCATGCGGAGAAAGGTATATAACAACAAGTAGGAAAATAATGGGCAAAATCCGCAAAAAGGAGGAAAGTGGATTCGAGCAGAAAATAGGATAGGTAACCCGAGCGATACGTATTTCTGCTGGTTGGCTTCATCAGGCCCGAAATGAATGCACATATGAAACTACAAAAGTAGATACACATGCCCACACATCCGGATACGGGTGAAACCTGAGGAAACGAAGTTGCAGGGGAAAAAAACGACACACGAAGTCCACAACAAGAGCCAACCTACACATTGTAGTATAAAATGGCTATACGACCTCGAATTTTCAAGGAGACGTCTAACCACCACCACGCGGCCGGTTATAGCCACTTGCTGTGGTACTTCAAGCCCAAAGGATCTACAAAGAGAATATGATCATGCGGAGAAAAGTATATAACAAGTAGGAAAATAATGGGCAAAATCCGCAAAAGGAGGAAAGTGGATTCGAGCAGAAAATAGGATAGGTAACCCGAGCGATACGTATTCTGCTGGTTGGCTTCATCAGGCCCGAAATAAATGCACTATATACTTGATGACCGAATATGAAGGTCTCAATCGTATGTCAAAATCGACGCGACAGGCATCGATCCAAAGGCGCCAGCAATATATTACCTTCCACATCATAGTTATGAACACCAACAGTGTTACTACCAAATTGAGAACGGTGTTCGACGGGTCTTGTAAGTCAACAAGCGGACTGTCCCTCAACGACACTCTCATGACTGGGCCAACCATCCAGGATGATCTGTTTTCAATATTGGTTCGGTTCCGACAACACAAGGTCATGCTTACCGCATATGTGGAAGAGATGTACCGCATGGTGCAAATCACTCCCGAAAACACCGCGATTTGCAACGCATCGTATGGCGTAGCAATCCTGACGATGAGATATCGCATTATCGAATAAATACCGTTACGTATGGCACTTCAGCATCTCCATTTTTGGCAATCAGAGCACTGAATCAAGCAGCCGTTGATCAAAAACATATATACCCTAAAGGGTCCGATACAATCATTAGGGATATGTATGTCGATGATCTAATTACAGGCACGACTAGTATCACTGAAGCTATGAAGCTAAAATCAGATTTATCAAACGTCCTTGAACCGTACGGTTTCAAATTAAGGAACTGGAGTTCAAACATGCCAGAACTTCTCAACTCCGACAATACATGCGTCACTTCGCTACATGACTCGCATTATATCTGCGCGGACGATGCGCGGCGCACACTCGGCATAGTGTGGCATGCTTATCAAGAGATGTTGTCTTATGCGATAGACGTTGAGATACCCAACCATCAAGTCACTACGAACCGAACGGTGTTATCAATCATATCCAGAGTTTTCGATACACTATGACTAATTTCTCCAATCATCATCACTTTTAAAATTCTTGTACAGCAACTTTGGCAACAGAATTTGGAGTGGAATAAACCCTTATCGAAACGTCTTCTAGATATTTGGCAGACCTGTGTGCGCAATGTGTCCTCAATAAACAATTTGAAGATTCAACGTCACACATTGCTAGATGGATTCGTCACAGTTGAATTACATTGTTTCTCTGATGCCTCGCAGGCGGCATATGGTACGTGTATTTATGTCAAAACAACGAATAACGCGGGTCATTCGCCAATGAATCTGTTATGCGCCAAGTCTCGGGTCTCCATTGAAGGTGTTATCCATTCCACGATTGGAGCTCTGTGGAGCAGTGTTAGCAACAAAGCTTTATGGAAAAGTTAAGCAAGCGTTAAGAAGAGATATCAGTCAATGTTATTATTGGACGGATAGTACCATCGTCCTTGCTTGGGTAGCTACCTACCCTAGTAAGCTAAAGGTTTTCACAGCAAATCGAGTAGCTGAAATACAGCGCAAAACTGAAATCAATCAATGGCGGTACGTTCCAACCGATTCCAACCCAGCAGATCTCATATCACGTGGGGTCACTCCACTCGAACTCCCGAATGAATCAAGCTTATGGTGGAATGGACCAACATTTCTCAAGCAAGAATCAACTAGTTGGCCGACACGACCAGCACAGGCTCATTCAGTACCCGAACTCAAACAATCACAGTCATTTTTGTCACGTGACTCTCACACTTTAAAGATATTTCATCTTTTTTCTTCATTACATCAAGTCAAACGAGCAATTTCTTGGTGTTTCCGATTATTTAAAAATCAAAAACTGTCACCTGATCAGCGCAAGGTCGGCACTCTAACAAACGAGGAGCTTACTCAGTCAATGACATACACTGTCAAACTGGCCCAGAATGAAATGTTTCCTGAAGAAGTTGGTCGGCTAACCCAAGGCAAGCAAATTTCAAAAAATTCTCAGCTCCTACAGGTATACCCATTTCTCGATTCCGATGGGCTACTAAGTGTTGGAGGACGTATCTCCAAAGCCAACATTCCGTACGAAACCAAAGATCAAATGATCTTAAGTCAGAAGCATAAACTAACAAAAATGATCATTATGGATGAACACAATCGGCACTTACACGCAGGAGTTCTGCAACTGCTCGGTTCATTGCGTCAAAAATATTGGATCATCCATGGCCGCCGAGCTATCCGGAATGTTCTTTCTAAGTGCATCGTGTGTTTCCGAATTCGCCCAAAACCTATCACATGCAAAATGGCGGATTTACCACGCGATCGTGTTTCGCCTTTGAGGCCATTTTATGTAACCGGCATAGACTTTGCTGGTCCATTTAATACTAAGGATTTGGAGGAGTTGGAGGGGGAAAAAACGACACACGAAGTCCACAACAAGAGCCAACCTACACATTGTAGTATAAAATGGCTATACGACCTCGAATTTTCAAGGAGACGTCTAACCACCACCACGCGGCCGGTTATAGCCACTTGCTGTGGTACTTCAAGCCCAAAGGATCTACAAAGAGAGTATGATCATGCGGAGAAAAGTATATAACAACAAGTAGGAAAATAATGGGCAAAATCCGCAAAAAGGAGGAAAGTGGATTCGAGCAGAAAATATGATAGGTAACCCGACCGATACGTATTTCTGCTGGTTGGCCATTTTATACTACAATGTGTAGGTTGGCTCTTTTTGTGGACTTCGTGTGTCGTTTTTTCCCCCTCCAACTTCGTTTCCTCAGGTTACACCCGTATCCGGATGTGTGGGCATGTGTATCCACTTTTGTAGTTTCATATATGCATTCATTTCGGGCCTGATGAAGCCAACCAGCAGAAATACGTATCGCTCGGGTTACATATCCTATTTTCTGCTCGAATCCACTTTCCTCCGATTAAGCATCGATCATGCTACTTTTCAATGAATGCCGAGAAATATTGTAACATGTGTTTCAGTTGCTAGAGAGGCATACCATTCAAAACACATTTACATGTCAACAGTGTAGAGCTCGGCCAACAAAATGACAAAACCTACGTTAGATATTTATTTTGAGTAAGTCAGTACTACCGTGATTTCATCAGTTCCACATACATAAGGTTCAAATATATAAAGTTACCGGTGTGAAGACAAAATGTAGCAGACAATTTTCCAAAGATAACCGAATCACCAGTGGCGTCGATAGTCTGTGATTATGAAGGATACATCTAAGAACCTGCTATAATAGGAAGAAATATTCAAAGCACGAGAACAAGCACCCTTATAGGGAGAATCAGTTTCCGTCCCAATTAAATAATTCACCTGGATAAAACTTATCCCAAAACCTTTGTTCGAATAAATATCATGGATTATTGTATATATGGTATTGAAGGTAACTGATAAGCCAGAACTCATACGGGTATAGTGAGGGGTAGCAGATAAAAAATATAAATAAAAATTAATTTTCACTCTCAAGAAAATGATTCCCCGAAACGAGCTGTTTCTCAAAAACAGCTCTTATTATAGAGGCAGCTTATAGGCTGGGTGACATGATGTAAGAAATCTCTGAAAAGGCAGATAAAAAAATATAAATAGAAATCCATTTTCACCCTCAAGGAAATGATTCCGCAAAATGAGTTGTATAATTTAATCACGTTTCTTGACCCTTGGCTACTCTTAAAATCTCTATTGTGTCGACTGTCCACATTTATGGCGTATAAAAACATGAACATAATCAATTTCACTTTTAAAATACCAGACCACGTTATACAAAAGAACGATTATAACTGCGGCGTCTATGTACATTTATTTATTTATTGTGTAGATATTTACAACGCTGATATACTGTTCTCAGAATACCTTCAAATTGTCATACTGTGATTAATATATATTGCTAAATGACGGTAAGGGAGTAACTTTTAGTGTAAAATGTATATATCTATGCCTAAGGAAGGTTATGTAACTTATCGCTGGATTGACAAATTCGCTGATTTGGATTGTTGGTGCTTATTTTGCTCACGTAACATGATCTCACCAATGTTTAATAAATAGAAGTTCGGTATCACTAATAAAATTAGGGGAAACGCACAAACAATATTTGTATGAATTGACGGTAAATTCAATACAACAATAGTTCCCTCTTTTCTACTTTTACTATTATTAATACAGATTTCCCAGAATGATTAGGATATTCGTTTGTGGTTTATTTACCACAAGAACCAATGAGCGGCTGTCAGTATTGCAGTTCTCTAACATTTATCATTTCCATAAGTTTCATCGTCAATAGAATGGTCTATATTCTTGTTGTTATAGTAACGTTTGTTGCTTTTGATCATTCTGCTCAACGAATAGATTAGAAGCCAGAAAAAAGTTTACATTACACTATTTGTCGCCAAAATTGCGTAGTCCTTTGCCTCATTTGTGTATCAATACCTACCAAAGTAACAGGAATTATGTAGTCGGAACTTCAAACTTCGTTTTTAAAAAACTTTATTTGATTCCAACAGTAGTTTACATGGACCGAACCGGAATTACAGTGTGTGTGTTCGCTGTGACTGAGATCGAATGACTGACTCATAATTAAGATACAATTGTTAATATAAACCAAAAGTGATGAGCTAGTAAAAAGGAATACAATGCAATTATTATATTAATTAATAAAGTGCTAAATAACGGCAACATAACTCAGGGTTGTATCAGCTTCATAATAATACAGGGTCCGTCAGAAAGAACGCATGTTTTTTAAATGAGTAGTAAAGTCAAAATAAGTATCTCGTAAAAATATTTTATTATATCAAAATACTCAGAAATACATTCCATTTTTTTGAGTAAAACAAAATTTACGTTCTAAAAACCATGTCGGCCATATTGTGCCCTAGAGCCGAAATGCAGAAATCAAGCCTCTCCCATTGCGCCGGCCAGCATCCGTGCAGGAATTTGGGTTACTTCTCTTCTTATTTCCTCCTTCAAATCTACGGGGGTCCAAGACTTTCTTTGGTAAACTTTTGATTTCAGGTAGTCCCATAAAAAAAATCACACGTTGACAGGTCCAAGGAGTGAGGGGGGCATGCAATAACGCCATGGCGTGAAATGAGACGTACGTGGAAATTTTTGCCGAAGAAGTTCCATCGAAGTACGAGCTGCGTGAGATGTTGCCTCGTCTTGTTAGAACCACACTGTTCTGAAACAGACACGTCGACATCGAAGTTCCGGAAAAAAAGTTGTTAGGCATGTGGATGTAACGTTGCGAATTCATAGTAGTTGTTTCTCCATCATCCTCAAAAAAATAAGGGCCAATAATCATCGTTGGGCCTACTGCACACCAAACTGTAACTTTCGGGGTATGCAGGGGGTGCTCATGCAACTGTTGGGGGTACACTGGAGACCAATATCGACAATTTTGTTTATTGACGTATCCATGTAAATGAAAATGTGCTTCATCACTCATTAACAACGTCATATCATTGTTATCCAACTGTTCAATCATGAGCTGTGCAAAATTAATACGTTGTGCATAATCCCCTGGCAAGTTGTTGACAAACGTGGATTTGTAAGGGTGGAACACTAAATCCTTCTTCAAGATGCGACGTACAGAGGACGCGTGAATCGCTAGGGAACTGGCACGCAAACGAACGAAACGATTCGGGCTTTGCAGCGTGTCAACTCTCACTCTGTCTAGATTTTCGGGGGTTCTAACAGTACGGTTTATTGTTATACTGAATGCTTCCACCCATCTCAAAATTGTGTTACGGTCTGGTACTGTCCCACGACGTGGAACACGAAAGTGAACGCGAAACTCACGTTGCGTTCGAACGACAGACTCGCCATTTTGAAAGTACCGACGTACAGTGAACGCACGATGCTCAACGTTCCAAACCATCTTGTCAACTACAACGGCACGTATTCCACTATCCAACACGCCCTTCCCCACCGACACGGGACCAGCCCACTCGATGTAGTACCCATTCGAAAAACATGCGTCCTTTCTGACGGACCCTGTACTTACCGTTGGAAATGTCTACCATCTTTTGACTTGTACCGCTCATTGCAAAAAATGTGAGAAATACCATGTCTTGAATTCTTCTAACATTCGCTGTTTTAAAAAATATCACTAAATATATAAACTTAACGACAACTGCAAAAAAATTGGCTGTCAAGCGCACGTTGATTTTCACTCCACTCCACTATGGGAATAATGAGACAAAGAAATCTTTGACTGGCTCCTTCTACCTATGTCGTTGATTCTGCTAGCACTAAAAGTCGCTTTTCAATATTTTACCGATTATTGAAATAAGAATGTATACCTAGTGTTAGTTATTTCTCACTTGATTTCAGATATTTTGGAATATAAAGCTTAGTTTTCAAATTGACGTGATGAAGCTACAAGGATACAATACCTAGTTATCTTTTGTTAACATTTTTTCAGTTAGGGAGAAGAAACTACTTCTCAGTTTGGCACTGCGATCAATATTGGTAACTTCTATGGTTAAAACTATTTTTGTTCCAGATGACCCAGCAAGGAGTCTTGCCCAACATGGGCAACGTCGCTATCCAGAGGTACATGGACACATCAACTGTCACAAACCACCCAATGAAAATCGAAAATGCAGACACGGGAGAGCAGTTAGGTTAGGAATAGTGCTGAATTGTGACTTTCGGGGGATATAGGGGGTAGTGCAAAAAGAAGGGGGTGAGGGGAAAGGGAAGTTCGGGGATTGGCTGTGTTTTCTGTTTTGTCAAGAGATTCATCGAGTTGATAGTTATATGTGACAGTGAAGTCTATCGTCTGTCTCCGATCGGAAGTGAAACATCAATTTTATCAACGTGTTTTAGAGGCTAGTGCAAGACTGTGACAAAATTAATAAGAAATTTGAATACGAGAGGTGACGACAACCGTCAAGGATCGGTAGTGTTCGTAGTGTTACGAATAATATTAAAATATTGAAAAGAATTACGTACCTATCTGCGGTTACATAACAAAGGAAAGTTGGAGTTCTACTGCTAAATTGACAACACTGCTCCATCGTTAGGTGAGTTTTCGCTTTGAAGTTTGAAACACTACTTGCCATTTGCACCGCCTTGCTTAACTACAGCTTAATCTAAGGTGGACCTTATCCCACAAATTTCTGTTGCAGCGCTATTGTTTGTAACTTTAAGTGAAACTCAGATGTCAAAAAGATAAACGATGATTAGATTAGATTAGAGCTTAAGTTACACATAACCTGAGAATACAGGGAAATAGTTTTCGTCAGGTTCTGCAGGTTGTGAAGTGGTTTGTCAGGAAATATCATAAAAATTTTGAAGAATTAGATGAAATTAACTTCATTATACAGGGAGTTTCAGAACTATGGGATCAAGCTTGTGGGGTTTATTCAGGGTAATAGTAGAAAACATTTGAGTATACGGACCCATATCCGGAAAAATGACACTACGGTCAAGTCCGCCGAAATCATGTGCGACGTTTAAATCGGTGTATTCAGGTTGGAGGAAGACATTTTGAACAATTGTTGTGATGTACAAAAGGCAAAAATTAAATGCCTTAAATCCTATTTAGGCAATTCATCGTCTTTCTAAATTTTAACGCGTCTTAGTGTATACTCAATGGTTTCTACTGTTACACAGAATAACCCCTACAAGTTTGATCCCATAGTAACTGAAACACCCTGTATAAGGAATTGATGACATAACATTCTTCCAACGGTTTGGGAGCAACACAGGTCTTGTTTCATTTATGTTATATAATTATACTCGGATTTAACAATCCGCAATAAAGATTTTTCTTGTCGGGAAAAATTGGGGCCACTTTTTTGCAGCAAAACTCATGATGATAAACACAAATTTGATAAATGAATATTTCATGCCCATCAGATATTAGATTTTCTGACACGACACGATGATGTGACAGCACAAAGTTGGGGTTAACTTAATGCTCAGTGCTCAAAAGTAGAAATCCATAAAAGTATACATGGTTACCAAGTCAATAGTACGCTTAGCTAAGTATGGTTCAAGGTGCGACGGTGCAACATAAATTCAATCTAAGGTTCACCGTAAAGATAAGATTCACTTTGCTAAGTGATATATTAAAGGAAGCCGGTGCCAACGGGCATCAATAGGATATAATTAGAATCCAGCAAAATCATTATTGCAGGTTGCTGTTATCAGTAGTTCCACTAAATAGTGAAATGACGTCATTAGTAATCAATTTTGCATATTTTCATATCCACACCAAAAGCATCAGTTTATTCATATGCCTGGCACTTAACTATCATACTACCATACTGTCCTTTTACATTTATTGCTATACAAGATGTTTCAAAAACAAGGCGCAAAAAGTCTTATTCATGTTCGCACTAACCGAATCCATTTATGCCCGCTAGAGATTGCCGATATAGTTATTATTGAATATCTGAGATATCTGATACCGTTACTTTTTAATATCAGTGATTTAATAAGCGTGACGACTTTCCAATATTGACAGACGAGTTGCTCTGATCCGTCATAGAGGACGTTTGATATTTGTTAACAGTTGTATTCTATTATAATTTGTAATGTTTAAAGCTAACGGAACCGTCACGAGTTCATCATACACACAACCAAATATTAGGGCTTTTGCCATAAAGTGCCCAGTTTCCAAAGTCGTGATCACGTCACGCTTTTTCACGGTATGTGGAAACAGAAGTGATTTGTGATTTAGAAATATCAGTTACTAAATCACAGTACTCCAGTACCCGTGCAAATTATTCTAAAATGAACGATTTTTTGCACGTCGCAAATACGCATTCTAAGGGCTGCATCCTATGACATACATTGCACTGTTTGCCGACAAAATTCCATAGTTTTAGGACCGTGTCGTCAGTCGTGCAAACAATGGCCTCCTTGATTTTCATAGCATTTTCCATCCTTCAGAAAGGCTGGGGTATTTCTAGATTTCTACTGCTCCATGTCAGCGTCAGACTCTCCGACTGTTTCTTTTTGAATTGTAGGAAATTTGAATCTGACATAACCGATGATGTAAATCAAAAGCATGAACAATTTGATTCAAATTGATATTTGCAACATAACCTCAAATTAGGGTGCTGTCACGGAACAGTAGAAAACTATGAAAATCAAGGAGGCCATAAAATCGATCTACAATTTATTGTAGGAACGACTGACGATACGGCCCTAAGATACTAGTATTTCTCAAAGAAAAACCATTCCAATGCTTGATGATAGGGATTAGGGATCAGTACACCACCCTCATTTTTTAACTCCTCACAAAAATTTCTGAAAATGAGCAAGTCTCTAAAATTTCAAAAAACATATTATCCATAACTTCGGGGATACTGGATCGTTTTTCAAAAAGCCCAAAGCTTGATGTTTTCGTCCTTGGCATAATAATAATCTTATGACAAAATTTCATCAAAATCCGACCTGTAGTTCCCAAGTTATCGTTTTTGGTGATGTAACCTCAAAAAAAAAACAATATCTCATATTCGAAATTTTTCGCGATTACAGAACTTCCGCGACGGTTGGCGTCAAAAGCAAACATACAAAAACCGCATCGAAAATAAGATTCGATCTATGTGGGAACACTGGACGCATTGCCAGAAATCCTTTTGCTGGTGCCACAGTATCTACCTAGGGGACAGTAAAATCACTCTCGATAGTATTTGTCAGATGAGTTGATTTAAATTGATTTCCTTAGCATTTATCGGAAAAGTGTGTATGTAAATGTACACAAAGACACTTTAGTTATAATGACTAAAATCTCATTTTGTTGTTACAGCGAAACAATTGGTCTATAGAAGTCGTCACCTTTGGAAGACAGAGAAACAGAACGTATTTTTAGAAACTGGTCAACATCTCTGTTGTACAAATTTTTAACTATTTTACTCTATTTTACTGTACATATTATTATGTATTTCTTAAGCTTATGTTATTTCAATTCTTAAATCTTATGGCATACCCGCCAGATCATGTGCAATAGTGTATTTTTTGTATTAGTTTGTTTACGTATTGTTTAGCAGTGGCGGACTAAGCCCATCTGTCCGGGACGGAAAACAAGGCCCCCGTTTGTTAAGAAATTGATCGTTCTGTAATGGATGAAAAATTAATAACGCAAATGGATGAAAAAAATCGTTCATTTATAACGTATTTTTTGCACTTTTATTCTTATGATTACCATAGTTCCGGCTACCAGATTTCGCATACCAGTAACAGGTAAGAGTAAAGTCATAAAAACGAAGAGAATGAGAAATATTTTTGTGACATACCTATAAACGAAATTTACATATATTCACATATGTGTATGTAAGTAGTGTGGATTTCCTACTTTCAGGGGGTTTTGTCTAGCGGCTGGCGCTCAGATAAGATGACACATTCATTCATTCTCATTTTTCCTCTTCCCTCCCCCTTCTTTCCTTCTATCCTCTCCCTTTGTCATCCTTCATTCTCCTCCTCCTCTCCTTCTACCCCTTTCCTCATATCCCTGCAAGTTTAAGACCTTGAGGGGGAGGGGCATGGCACCGTTGTCTCTCCCCCTGGAACCTCGCCTATCTGAAATAATATCATATAGATTTTATTTATTTACAAGACAAGAACTATTATGTATGTCTATGAACTCCTACACATCCACGATTCTAAAGGCACAGTCGCCAACTATGATCTTGATAAAGACCTCGACGAGGAACATAGCACATTAGCGGAAGGCTCTGCCTTTTTGGTGACAATAATCAATGCGATGCTCAGAACCCAGTACTTCCCTGCGAGGTGGATGACTACTGAGGACATCATGGTTCCAAGGTGGGATCGATATTCCCTCAAGATTACCGCATTTGTCTGTTCATCTCCTTCTAAGCTCGCCGAAAAGGTTATTTATCGTCACCTTGAGAATTTTTCTTCAGCTCACCATATGATTCCTGTCGTTCAATTCAGCTTTCGGTCCGAGCATAGCACCGGGCTACAGGCATTCAGGCTGGTGGAACATGTAACCAGAGAGTTCACCCTCAGCATGAGTTCTGGCATCCTGCTTTTGGATGTCTCATAAGCCTTTGACAAGGTGTGGCACGCGGGCCTCCTCTATAAAGTAATACAAAAAAGGTTTGCCCTTTAGGTACGTGGGGTTAGCCCCAAAAAATCGGGGGCTAGCAATTCATTCATGTGATTCGTTTGTCCATCATTTCTCCACATTTGTCCACCAATTCATTTGATTTGTCCACCCTTTGTATTCTCCTAAACCAAAAAAAATAGTATAAATATTATGATAAATAAAACGTTTCGTCTTTCGTTTTTCGATCGTTCGTCTACAATTGTCTTTAGTTTCATTTGTCCACCTATTAAATTTGGTGGAGATGGAGAAAAAAATCGGTCCACCCTAGTCTCAAATCTCTAGTGAAATGCCTTCAAAATTGCTAAAAGTGACTTATTAGGAATAAAACAAGTTCTCGATATTTGCTGACCATCTGAAACATATCATTTACCCATTATTAATTTCTTTTTTAAGAGAATTAAAGATGGAGCTAACTTCACGCCCCTGCAAAATTACCGGCGACACTTCGTCAAGGATGGACATCATTGCATTCGTTTGTCCACCCATCGAAAACGTTTGTCCACCATAGACATGTATCCACCTCACACATCTAAAAAAAAATCCTCGGTCCCTCTTGAATATATTTTTTTTAAATACTACTATGGGATCTAACTTTACACCCGCGCAGAATCGTTGGAGATGATTAGGCAAAGGTGGATGTGGTTGTATTTATTTGTCCATCCATAAGAGACATTTGACCTCCCATCCGTATTCATAGGTTTTAAAAAATCTGAAACTCATAGTCTTTATTGAAGTTCTACAATAATTTCTTCTTTCGTAAGGAATATAAAATGTATAAAGCCACCTCTTGTAGGTTTGACAAATAAATAGTAATTTCATTTAACCTAGATACATAGTAAGGTTATTTTATTGATGATACATTATTAGGTTTAAAAAATGCTTAAAGTAAATAAAATAGACATCTGTTATGTACATATATATATATAGTTATAGTTAAAAGGTTTCTTCTTTTCTCCTAAATTATGTATACCGGGTGCTTCAAATTTGTCTCTCACCATTGGTATCTCGAATTTGTTACTGTTCATTTTTTATTAGTTTCTTATAAATCACTTCTGATGAAATTCTGTAATTTGACAGTGACATTAATTTTGTAGGTCCCAACAAATAATCTAAAGACATTTCACAAATTTTTTATTTCTGCGAATGTTATCAATCAGTAATTTTTTTAGTTAAACATTTAAATACAAATAATTTATCTATGAGCAAGCAAAATATTTATTCGCCTAAAAGTCCTTCCATTATATTCAAAAAATGGAGTTAGTGGCATATCTAATAAAAGCCCAAAATACCAAGTTGAATTTTGATGACGTGTAAAATTTATATCAAAAAAATATACTTGAAATCCTGTATCTCAACAATGAAACCATAAAACACATATGTTTATACGAACTTTATTTATTCGTTCTCATAAGCTCTACCAGTTTCCAATTCAGAATCCTAAACCTAAAGACAGTACACTATGAGTTTGTCTCCTTTTCATTCGATTTGAGTTTCTCCTGAGGCTATCTTTACAATGATCTACTGCAATAATTTCAATACATCACTCTGCAAGCTTTGGGTAGATAAAAATGTATGTCCAAATTCTCTGGGTCTAATATCAGTGAAAACTCATTTTCGATATCATTTATTTCTATTGACTCACCGGGAATAGGTGTGGCACGATTTTTGCCTCTCCATCCTTCTGTATATATTAAATAATCATTGTCACTTTCACGTATCTTGTCCATACACATTTTTTTGCTCTTAGTTTCCTTGGACCTATTTCTGCGCTTATACTCGTACCTATCCATTACCGCAGCACGTTCACATTTGGTGGAGCTTTGACTCCATCTTATATGCCAGGCAATATATTTATCTGCCCGTAAGGGCTTGTATGCTTGCCTCCCGAGGCACGACTTCAGCTCTTTGAAATAACCTTCACAACTTGCTGATGATGCGACTAAATTTGACATTGGAGATGTATTAATCATTACGTTTGTCCATAACGAAAACTGCTTAGTCAGGCTTACCAAAATGTCTACTATTTCCGGTAAATAATAAGGATTTGGTCGCTGATATCCTTTACATTTGCCAGTTATTACAGTGGCACTGCCGAGAATATTTTGAACTAAAGCAGATATTGCCTCAGTCTGTTCTAAGTTGCCGCAATCATCAAGTAACTCACGGTCAATCGTATCATTTAATACAATACAGAAAGTTTCCATTTGCCTGAATAATTCTTTTTTCCTAGCTGGTAAGATCTATACCAACATCATTTTGTCCGTCGCATTCACTCACGTGCTATAATAAATATGCTTTGTAACAGGTTTTTAAACGAACTTAAGCTTTCACAGTTTGTCATGAGTAATAAACACCTTGCATAGAAGTCCTTTCCCGATGGCAGTTTCTTATCGAACAAATTTTTCTTGCATAAAAGATTCATTAGATGAGCAATCAACCCTTATTTGGGTCCGCAAAGGGTGATGTAGCAGTTCATTATTTAAAATTCGAAAACAGTCTGCAACATACTCTTTAAGGGTCATTTTATTAAATGCCAATGCGTTTAGCAGAGCCAAAGAAAAATCTGTAACCACTTCGTCTGGTGTGGGTGCGTATTCAAGAAAATCCCCAAACCAATAATTTATCATATTGGTATCGTTTTTTTCGGAAATCATTTGCGCCACTGAAACAATTCCTGATTCCCCGCTTTGTGCGATTTGATAAAGAAAAATGGCTTGAGAAATATTACTGGAGTTTAACATTGGTTTGGCAATAGTACCTGTTGAGTCTATACTGCCAGAATACTTTGCTATCAAAGATTCAATAAGGTCATTATTTTTATCGATATTCAGGTCCTGTGCAATAGCTTTTTCTTTGCATTTTCTCAGGGTCGCTGCTTTAGCAATATATAGTGGTACTGCAGCACCGAAATCCATGTTTGTGGTTGCTTCGTTCAACCATACTGCTGGCTTTTTAGTTAACAGTTGCTTACCAATTTTGTCTCTACGGTCGCCTTTCAGATACCGCCGCAAAGAATGGGGAACTCCTCTTGCGTCTGTCACCATCATATCGATCGTAATGCCGAAATTGATATCCAGTTCGTTAAAACAACGGCCATGAACTATTTCGCCACATTCTTTACAGCGTCCTGTTATTGTCAAATAAGGTGTGTGAAAGATACTGGGTTACTGGTCTTGAACTTGTTGTACATTTTTTCAGAAGTATTGTCGGCCCAACCGGGTTTTAATTTTGAATATTCAGAAAAGGATGATGGTTTGATTAAATTCCATTCGTCGGTGTCAAAACATATCGAGTCATATATTGATATGTAGGTATCCTCTTCCAACATACTAAAAATATTGTATACAATTATAATATTCCTATACACAAGTAAAGCAGTCTTTATTATGCTTAGAATTGAGCAATGAGATCTTAGTTGACCGGAGTGCGTTAATATTCAGGATCAAATATATCTTCCAAGCTCGTTACAAAATATAAGCCTCATCAGTACCAGTCGTGTCAAAATTTAAATAAAACATATATTTACAATAATTATGTTGTGAAAATGAGCAATATACAAATATTTATCAAGGACGCGAATTTTAAAAGGCAAATTGGATGTCGTCTCCTCAGACAAACGTGTAATGCAAGCACGCCTAAATTCGGTCCTAAAGGCTACAACTATCGATGATTCACATTTAATTTAGCAATATATAAAAAGAGGTATCTTTTTTGCTACGCTATCTAACGTTGTACAGCACCAATCGCTCTTCGAAATACTGGGTGATATGCATAAAGGCGAGTGGGTTATCAGAAGTAGCGACTCCATATTGTAGCGAGTAACTACTCCTGTTAGCGAGAGCATACTCGGTTTTGATATGCATAAAATATTTGTTGAGAAACGGAGAGCCTACTCAAGTGCCAATGAAATACTTGAGTAGGCACTCTGGTTTTCGAGTTCCGACTTGTATTTTGTTGTCTCGTCGAATTGGCAATTTCTCTATTGCGAGCAGTTACTCCTGTATACCGGTAAACGTTTGTGTCGGTGGTGTTTAGGTCGATTATACCTATTCTGAAGACCATTCATCTGAAAATCAAACAGTATTTGTTAATATAATTAAACAGTATCCTGTTTTGTTGGAAAAATTTAACATCCCGGTAATCAAAAATAAACGACGTAAGGCGGCGAAAGAAATAAAAGAAAAGGTAGAAGCCGAATTAGGAGTTAAATATAACGAAGGGCAGATTTGTAAGACGATTCAAAACATAAAAACCAGATTAAAAGCGAAGACAGACAGATATCAAACCGGAAACAAACCAATAAAATTGAAAGGATGGGAACAAGAACTGTTCAATCTTAAAATGTGGTTGGGAATCTAATCCAAATGTTCGACTTCTGCACAATGCGTGTTATAGCGTTCGAAACGGTTCGGGATGCCGTAGATTGATGGACGCCAATAGCTTCTCCTATGCCAATTTGAAATCCTGGATCACCCACATATCGTAAAAAAACCCTCATTCTTTCTATATTGCTCAAAGCACCGCCCCTATATTCTTCTGTCTCTCCAAGAAAATGGTTACTTATCCACTCAACATTAACTTTACTAAACCGATATAAGGCCCGATAGTCTACTTCACTTGATTCCCTACGATCTTTAAACACCTTCGTAGGCTGATAAATAGGCATAAATTCGGCCATTTCGTCCACTTCTTATAAAGCTGAGTCTACTACTAAGGTATCTCGCATTTCTTTAAGTATGCACTCAGCGGTCAGAGTGGACGCTCACTTTTATGCACATAAAAATTGAAGTCGGCACTCAAGGAGCGAGTACAGCCTCACGGAAAGAGTAGAAACTTATGAGTGTGAGCTTCTACTAACATTTTCATGCATATCAAATGGAGTGGCTACTTTAAAAATGCGAGTCAAAAGTAGCCACTCTCCTTTATGCATATCACCC